CAATAGGTTGAAACTGAACCCTGGCAAGACCAAATGGCTTTGGGTTTGGAGTTCTTTGGCCCATGGAGAATTGCCACCTTTGGTTTTGGATGGAGTGGTACTGCCCAAAACAAATCTTGTGCATAATCTGGGGTTTTCCTGAACTCAAAGAGTAGGTAGCAGTTAGGCCACAACTGCACCCTTTTTATGCCCTTTCCTGGACCAACAAACTCTACTCATGATCACTCATTCCCTAACCACCTCCTTTCTTGACTATTGCAATGTGCTCTAAATGGGGCTGCCCATGAAAAGCATCTGGAAACCTCAGTTGGTACAATTGGAGCATGGTTTTGTGTAGACCTTGATGCGCACATGTATCACCTCTCCTGTAGGAGCTGCATTGGTTGCCGATTCACTTATGGGCACAATTCAAGGTACTTGTTGTCACCTTTAAAGTATTTCCATGGCTTGGGACCAGATTATCTGAAAGGTCCTCTACTGCCAGTCACATCTACCTGACTCACTAGAGTGGGGAGGCAAGGAATGTTGTGGGTTCTGTCCCCAAGGAGGTACATTTGGCAGGACCAAGAAGAAGGGACTTCTCTGTAGTGGCTCCCTCCCTTTGGAATATCATTCCTCCAAAAATTAGACTGGCCTCCACTCTTTTGGAAAGCCCTGAAAACGTGGTTCTTCCAACAGGCCTGGGGAACCTAGCGCGGGATAGAGCCATTTAATGGGATAGAGCCCATTCAATGGCTGGTATGAATGTAAGTTGTCACCTGGGTGTACGGGGGTTATTATTTTACTTTTTTATTTATTTTTATTCTTTTATATTGTCTTTTTATGTCCTGTAAGCCGTCTTGAGTTGCCATGTGAAAGTAGGCGGAATATATATTTTCTAAATAAATAAATAATAAATTCATTTTTAAAAGAGAGAAAGAAAGCATCTGTAGCGTTAACCTCAGGAAATATTCCATCAACAAATGTATGATTCAAGAATAATCACTGCTGAATAAATCCTACCAATCCAAATGTTGGGAAAATTATATTAAATCCAAGCATATTTCTAAAATTTCCAGTAAAACAAAACAAAACCTTTCTCAGAATCTAAATAACAAATTCAAATTATTTTTTAGTAAACAAAAGGAACATTAATTAAAAATCTGCTATTTAACAGTCCTGTATAAAGCCAGTCTCCGCTAGAGATACAGGAGTTGGAAGAATGCCCTGAAATCTGAGTCAAAGTAACTATTATACTCTTGTTATCCACATTTACCAAAGATAAGTATGTATAATTGGATTATTTCCTGCCTTCATAAATTTCTCTCCTTAAAAATAAAAGGATTTATTTTTTTTAAAAAAATGTTTCAATTAAAATAGTATATAAATACATAATATATTTTCATATCACTCTAGTATCAGATCTAAAGTCTTAGCCAATTGCATTAATTTAAAGTAGAGATCCTTTCTAAAATCAAAACAAGTAAAATTAGTAACCTGCCCTGGATTAAATAGGCTAAACTTTACCTTTTGTAAAAATAAAAAAGGGAGGGGGGATTTCTCTCATCATCTGTTGGTGTTTATGTTTAATTGTTCAAAATAAAAAAATGGGTGCCTAGTAAATGAGAGGAATGAATCTCTTTGTATTTTATACACCCACCTATTTTGGGGGGAAAAATAAGTTCCTTAAAGAAAAGATATTCTCTTACCCATCAGAAGAGAGAGAAGAGTCAGACTTTCAATCCCAAGAAATCTCACCATCTTTGTTTAATGAATCTATTTTGATTTAAGTCAAATAATGAAAGAAGGAAAAAGTTAAGCAGTCGAAGCAAAAAGAATATAAA